GGAGGACATACAGACTCAGACTCAGCAACAAGACTAGCGGCGTAATCTAGACGACAGGCATCAGCAAAGTCAACAAGCTCAGCGACTAAGGCAGACGCAGCAGCAGACTCAACGACGGGTAAGTGACAAGTGTGGCTAGCAGACGCGTGATAGTAGGGTGCTCAGCACGAAACCGGTCAGACTCGGGCTCAGGAACGGTAGGCAGAGAAGACGCAGGAGGGGACGGCAGGGGAACACGCTGCGGAGGAGAGGAAGGACGACGGACTACGAGGTGGGTGCCGAAGACAGCCGGCTGACGCGAACGAGGAACACGACGACCGGAACGACCAGAACCGACAGGCGAGACAGGACGCGACGCAGGCTCACGACGCTCAGTAAGACCCCCTGTCTGCTCAGTGTAAGGAGAAGGAGCAGGCAGCGGTGAGCCAGGCTGTAAGGGAAGACCAGTAGACGAAGGGAGACTAAGAACCTGGCGAAGCACAGAGTCAGACGGTGGCTGAGACGACGGAGACGGTGGAGCAAAGAACAGGCGCGGCTGTGCAGTGCCACCAGCACCAGCACCTCCAGCACCTCCAGCAGCTCCAGCACCTCCAGCAGCTCCAGAACCCTCAGCGCCAGCTCCTCCAGGACCAGCTCCACCAGCAGCAGCACCCCCAGAACAGGCACCTCCAGTCCCAGGGTCTCCAGCCTCAGTGTCTCCAGCAGCACCACCCTCAGGCTCAGCACCTCCAGCCCTAGCAGCTCTAGTACCTCCAGTACGAGCACCTCCGGGACCAGCACCACTCCCAGCTCCAGTGACGTCAGCAGAAGTACCTCCAGCGGCAGAGCCCCGAGCTCCAGAAGCGCGACCCTGACGGCGACCGTACCAGTCGTGCAGCTGCTGGGAGGTGAGAGGCACACACGGACGAAGGCGGCTACTCCAAGGAAACCGCGCAACAGCAGACTCAGAACCCTCAGCGCCAGCACCCGCAGCAGCTCCAGAACCTCCAGCGCTAGCACCCGCAGCAGCTCCAGAACCTCCAGCGCCAGCACCCTCAGCAGCTCCAGAACCTCCAGCTCCAGCACCCTCAGCAGCTCCAGAACCTCCAGCAGCTCCAGAACCTCCAGCTCCAGCACCCTCAGCAACTCCAGAACCTCCAGCTCCAGCGCTACCAGCGCCAGCACCTCCAGCAGCTCCAGAACCTCCAGCTCCAGCACCCTCAGCAACTCCAGAACCTCCAGCAGAAACAACTCCAGTAGCAGAGTCACCAGCTCCAGCGCCTCCCGTAGCAGGGCCCCTAGCTCCAGCAGCGCGACCCTGACGGCCAACGTACCACTCAAGCAGCTGCTGTGGGGAGAGAGGGAGTCCACGACGAGAGTGCAGCGGCGAGGCACCAGCGGAGCGACTACGGAGACAACCGCTCCAGGGAGACTGCTCACCAGACGCCTCAGCGCCCCCAGGCTCAGCACCCCCAGACTCCTCACGCCCAGGCTCAGCACCTCCAGTCTCCGCACCCCCAGGCTCCGCACCTCCAGGCTCCGCACCCCCAGGCTCAGCACCCCCAGGCTCAGCACCCCCAGGATCCGCACCCCCAGGCTCAGCACCCCCAGAAGCAGCACCCCGAGCAGGACCACCCTCAGCAGGACCCGAGTCACCAGTGACCTCAACCGGCGCAGTCAAGGGAGGAGGGTCTACCTGAGACACACCTGAAGGAGCAGGACCGGGAGCGGGGAGGGGGTCTACCTGGGGAGCACCTGGAGCGAGGAAGAGCGGCGGGGGGGGGAGAGGGGCAGTGCGGTAGGGGAAGAGACGGTAAAAGGGAACCGACTCGTCGAACGTGACGTCCTGAGAGGGGAAGACACGGCGCGAGGTGGGGTGGTAAAACTGCCAACCAGGCGCGTCAGGGACAAAGCCAAGGAAGACACAGGGAACAGCGCGGGCGGAGAGCTTGTCCGCGGTGGTATCGCGGACAAAGGCACGAACACCCCAGACCCAGAAACGCGACGCATCGCCAACCTTCCCCGTCCACAGCAGTGTGGGCGAGGTCTCCGGCAAGGAGACACGGGGCCAGAGGTTGAGCTCATGCGTGGCGTACCGGACCGCAAACGGCCACAGAAAATGGGGGGCAGCCGCATGGATCATGGAGGTACGAGCGACCTCCATGACTAAGCCAATGCGGCGCTCAGCAACCCCATTCTGCTGCGGAGAGGCCGGAAGCGTGAACGTCTGGCGGATGCCGTGCTCCGCACAGAAGGCTGCCAAGAGGTCTGAGGAGAACTCACCACCTTTGTCAGAGTGCAGACGCAGGACAGGAAAGTCCGACTGAAACCGCTCGCGGAGCTGGAGACGAACAGCGCGAATCCAGGGGATCAAAACATCAGGGACATCCCCCTTGCGCTGCAAGGGGAAGACCGTGGTGTAACGCGTGTAGTCGTCGACGACCAGCAGGAAGTACCGCTCGTGGCCCTGTCCACGGACGCGGGCTGGGCCCCACACGTCCAGGTGGAGAGTTTGCAGGGGAGCCTCTGTGGGAGGGAACGAGGAGGAGTGAGGAGCGGCGCGCTGCCGCCCCTCGACACAGGGAAGACAGGGAGGAGCAGGCGAGGGTGGTAGAGGAGGCAGAGTCTCTGGAAGTCCAGAGACAAGGAAACGGCGGTGCATGCTACGAAGGCGCTGCACCGAGGGGTGACCAAGGCGGTGGTGCCAAAGGAGGGTCTGGTGCGACAAAGCGCGACACGAGCAGGGGGCCGCTAGCTGACCTGACACAAACGCAGACGCAGACGCAGCTACCTGAGGGGACACAGTGGTCAGTGTGTACAGACTCGAGCCAGACGCTCGGGTGAACGTGGCCAGGTGCCGACCAGTCCGGGAGCACGTACAGTGGGTCACACGCTGACCTCCAGGGGTGAACTGGTCAACCCACACATCCTGTAGGTCAGCTCCACTCACCAAGTTCGTAGAGAACGAGGGGAGGTGAAGACCTGACAGGGAGCCAGACGGGACCGCTGGACACGGCAGGACCGTGGAGGAGTGCGCAAGGACTGGACCCCCAGAGGGGTCTGCCAGGGAGACTGCAACCGGCCGACGGAGCGGCGTGAGGGTGGTGCTGTCGCGAAAGAAGGAGCGGGAGGCACCTGAGTCAAGTGTGAAGGTGTACAAGGCCTCAGCAGGCGCAGTACCAGAGAGAGCAGACTCACCAGCACCTGGAGCAGCAGCCTCACCAGCACCTAGCGCAGGAGACGCACTAGCACCTAGAGCAGCAGCCTCACCAGCACCTAGAGCAGCAGGCTCTATACCTGGGTCAGGCGGTACGCACAGGGAACAGGCACGGTCAGCACTAGTAGGCAATGCATACATGGCAGTGAGAATAGCATCATAGTCAAGAGCAAAGATATCTACCCTCTGTCCAAGCAGCTCCAGCCAGGTGGGGAGCTCAGCCTCGTCGCCAAACTCGGTACGCCAGGCGTCGCTCAGACGGGCGAAGCAGCGGGACTGTGTGTGACCAAGTGTCCCGCAAGCCTGACCAGCCCGATCACCTGTGCGAATGACGTACGGGCAGCGAACGGTACTCAAAGACCCTCTACTCTGAGCGTACCACTCGTGAAGCTGCTGGGACGTAAGTGTCTCGCGCGGACGCCGCTGCAGCTGCAGCTGGCCACTGCCAGACGCTCCCGACTGACCAGCTCCAGGGCGACAGCCACGACGGCTACCGCCACAACCCCAACTAGGGTACCACTCACGAAGCTGCTGAGGCGTGAGAGACTCGCGTGGACGCCGCTGGAGCTGCATCTGGCCACCGCCAGTAGCAACAGTAGCAGTAGTAGCAGCAGTAGCAGAAGTGGCAGCAGTAGCAGAAGCGGCAACAGTAGCAGCAGCAACAGCCTAGCAGCAGTAACAGTGCGGGCAGGGCAGGTGCGGCAGGTAGGCAGTCAGGCAGGCAGGCAGGCAGGCAGGCAGGCAGGCAGATGACGCGGCAGCGCGCGAACAAGGTAGGTGCTCACCAGGGCAGGCGCTCGCCGGGCAAGCAGGGCGGCGGCCGGGCCGCGACAGGTGCGGCAGAGCAGGGCCGCGTCAGCTGCTGCAGGGCGGGGCCGTGAGGACTGCTGCAGGGTGGGGCCGTGACAGCAGCAAGAGGCTCCGCGGCAGCTTCTGCAGGGCGGGGCTGCGACCGTGGCAGGGCGCTCCGCGGCAGCTGCTGCAGAAGCGACGGCGCGTCGAACTGGGGCAGCCGCGGCGCGCGCGAGGACGGCAGCCGCGGCGCGCGGGGCTGCAGCGCGACGCGTGGGCAGCGGTCGCGACGCGCGGGGCTGCAGCGCGACGCGCGGGCAACGGTCGCGGCGCGCGGGGCTGCAGCGCGACGCGCGGGCAGCGGTCGTGACGCGCGGGGCTGCAGCGCGCCGCGCGGGCTGCGGACGCGGCGCGCGGAGCAGCAACGAGCCGCGCGCAGGCTGCCGAGGCGCGACTCGGGCAGCGTGGGCGACGCGTGGGGCAAAAATCGAGCCTCGCGCAGGAATTAGGTCTGCGCGCTCTAAGCAGCAGCAGATCGCGCAGTCAGCAGACAGTAGGCAGCAGGCAGACGGCGCGCGCAGCGCAGCACGTCACAGGCACAGTCACAGTCACAGTCGTGGGGTAGCGGTAGGTGGGCCCGATAAAAAAAAAAACGGTCCTACGGACCTACTGCTCTGAAACCATGTTAGAATCTAGAGACAGGAATGATTGAACTATGAAAGTGTTGGGTACAAATATGAAACCCTAAAAGGGGCTGTACCCCATATTGGCTACCCCACTACAGCCTACACATATATAACATGCATATACTTTGACACGACTCCATAGCTAGTAATACCTGCATGTACTAGCATGTGTTTAAGAACGATGCATATGTTGTAATACGCCAGTTGCAATGAGAACGATGCCAAATTATAAGGACAAGAAAGCAAGCTTTCTCAATACGATAGAGGACAGAACTGAGTGTTCCTTGTAAAGGTTTTGAATAAGGTTGACAACAGTGGGCTGGAAGTCAGAAGGTCAGAGAAAGGGAGGAGAAGAAAGGGGACGAGGGGGTGGTCGGGGGGAGGGAGGGGGGCTTTGACGGAGGAGAGAGAAAGTGTATACGATGGAAAGAGGGATCGAGCTTGAGAGTAGTGGGAGTACGCCAGGAGAGAGTAGAGGGGAAAGCGAAAGTAGTTGAGAGTGTTGAGAGGGGTGTGAGGTGGAGCAGAGACGAGAGGCAAGATGAGGTGGGGGAGCAGGGGTGATGATGGATGGGCAGCAGCAGTGGTGCATGATAGGCAGCAGTGGTGCATGACTGGCAGCAGTGGTGCATGCCTGACAGCAGTGGTGCATGACTGACAGCAGTGGTGCATGACTGACAGCAGTGGTGCATGACGGGCGACAGTGGTGCATGACGGGCGGCAGTGGTGCATGACGGGCGACAGTGGTGCATGATTGGCAGCAGTGGTGCATGATAGAATTGGTGAGAAGACAGCAGTAGAGCCAAATGAACAGGTGGCACGAACAACGTTTGCAAGCAAAGGGACGTTGATGGACAGGGACAGAACACAGGCATGTGGTTGTGGTTGTTTCATCTCACCATGCTCGTTTCATCTCACATGCTCGTTTCATCTCACCATGCTCGTTTCATCTCACATGCTCGTTTCATCTCACATGGTCGTTTCATCTCACAGTGCTCGTTTCATCTCACCATGCTCGTTTCATCTCACCATGCTCGTTTCATCTCACCATGCTCGTTTCATCTCACCGTGATCATCTCATCATCCAGTGGCCCCCCATGGTACGACACCATGAACACATCCTTCGCCACCACGCCCTGCATGCACATGAATGGGCCATGGGCCATGAGAGTCAGATGCGGTGATCATTGTGTGGGACGGAACACATCTTTGTGATAATTGTGAACACATCCTTCGCCACCACGCCCTGCATGCACATGAATGGGGTATAGGGGTTGAGAGATGGGAGATGGGATATGGGAGACGGGAGATGGGCAATGGAAAATGAGAGATGGGCAATGGAAAATGGGATATGGGCGATGGGCAATGGGATATTGGGATGGGCAATGGGAGATGGGGATGGGCAATGGGAGATGGGGATGGGCAATGGGAGATGGGCGATGGGTGATGGGAGATGGGCGATGTGTGATGGGAGATGGTGATTACTGTGAAGCACCATCTCGCATGGTACAAGTCAGTGCAAACACGCTGCACTCACAGAACACACAGCTTTTGCCGGCACACGTTGTAGCACAACGAGTGAGCATGCAGAAACACCGACAACACAGCATGCTCACCTCAGGAGTCAGAACGCATCTGAACCAGCATCACACGCCACCCCCGTGTCACCCTCTGCTGACGTCACACGCCACCCCCGTGTCACCCTCTGCTGACCCAATTCCTGGGTTGCAGCGAGGGTAAAAATGGCAAGGTACACGGAGAAAAATGGATGGAAGGAATCAATGCCGAGTGGAAACTTGGTCAGCTGATTGAATGATTAGGCACTTCAGAAAAAAACTCAAAATCCACCTGCGCTGGCGCGCACATGCACGGAGCTACCAAGAACACAAGTCGCTCGGCCGGCAAACTGAGTCTCTACACCACTAGGGACGGCCCCACTCGATGCGCCACCTATCCACCCCCACCCTCCCTCCCACCACTCCTCGATCTCCCACCATTCCCCGCCCTCCCATGCAGCCTCATGTGATTGACATGGCACATCCTCACCCATCCCCCCCACCGCCCTCTCCCATCCTCCCCACCGCCCTCCCCCATCCTCCCCACCCTCCCCCCCTCGCTCACAGTGCATGGTGGCGCGTCGCATGTGAGGCCCATGACGGGGTGCGTCCCCGACTCCCGCAGGTGGGGAGAATGGGAAAGGGGTAAGGGGAAACAGATTGAGGTGCAAGACGGTGGGGTTCGGTGCAAGGAGGTGAGTCGCACGTGAGGCCCATGGCGAGGTGCGTGCCCGACTCCTGCAGGTGAGCACGGGAAGGGGGAAGGGGGACGGGGGAAGGGGGAAGGGGGGAGGGGGACGGGGGAAGGGGGGAGGGGGAAGGGGCAAAAATAGGGTTCAAGGGGAAGGGGAGGAACAATCGGGAGGAAAGGGCAGGGGGAGGGTGGCAGGGGGAAGTGGGAGGAGGACAGGAAAATGGGAAATGGGGAGGAGGAATGAGGAGGGAAAAGGAAACAGAAGAAAGGTGAAGGGAGACGAGGGAGGAGGAAAGGTAGAATGGGGGAGGAGGGATGGGGAGGGGAAAAGGAAGGGGAAACAGGGGAGGCGGAAAGCGGAAGGCAGAAGCTGGAAGAGGGAACGGGAAACGGGGGAGCAAAGGGGGAAAGGGAAAGGGGGGGATGAATGTGATTGCTTGTTGATAAGTGCGTAGGAGTCTCTTACTGGCGGCATTAGATTCAGCCATTTTTTATAGAGTGACAGCGTGGGTCTGAACTCAAAGTCCAAGCCAAGCAGTACCAGCAAGCAATCCATTCCACTCTTCGGGTGCCATGCAGTCTACACACTGGCTGTGGGAAAGTAAGCGTGTGGACCACTGCTAGCAGCAGCCTGCCCGCGCACTCACAGCGTATGGAGCTGGGCGAGGTGGCTGCTGTGCGGCGAATGCGACCCATGCTTCAGCAGCAGCCTCGATACCGTCACAGCAACATGAACCGCTGCTAGCAGCAGCGCTGGCCTGCCCGCACCACAGCCACTCCTGCCACTCGTGATTCTCGTGCCACTCGAGGCACACATCAATGAGGAGGGAAGAACCAGGAGAGATAGAGATGAGCAGCCGGGGAGCAGAGAGCTTGGAGGGCACCGATGGTAAGAGTGGAGGGGAAAAAGGTGATGAGTGCTGGCGGAACCACGAGGTGGTGGAGTGGTGAGAGGGTGGGAGGGCTGGGACCGTGGGAGGGTGGGAGGGTGGGGGGGTGGGAGGGTGGAGGGGTCGAAACGGCAGTGGAGCGGCGGGCAGTGGATCGGCTTGTGCAGAAACGGGCAGACGGCTGAGAGATGACGATTAGTGACTGAGCGGATGCGAGATGACACGTGGCAGAAAGTGGAGCCAGCAGAGCGAGTGAGCGGAAAGACTAGAGCAACGCACTTGATCTCTCCTGCTGTATGGCGCACCTGAGCTTGGGGAGGGTGGGGGTGGGAGTGCAAGGGGCGACTGGGAAAGCGGGACGATGGGTATGGTGGTTAGGGCGGTTAAGGTGATTAAGGTGGTTAGGGCTCGGCATATGGCCGGCAGCAGAAGTGCGAGGATGTGAGACGTGGAGGTATGGAGTGGCACAGAGTGTCAAACATTGTATGTTTACATTGTGTAGGCTATAGTGGGTTTAGCCTTAGGGGGTACACAAACTTAGGGTTTCCTTCTTGTACCCAACTTTGTGCTAGTTCATTCATTCCTGTTTCGTACTTTCTAACATGGTTTCAGAGCAGGTCCTCCGCTAGGACCGATTTTTCTTAGGGCCCACCACTACTGACTGCCTACTAGCGCCCTCGTGCGCCCTACTGTCGGAGCGCCCTCGAGCGCCTCCCCCAGCGCCCTCGTGCGCCCCTCTTTAACGGCCCCGTAAGGCCTCGCGACCCGCGACCCGCCCCTTAGCGACCCGCGCGCCGCCCCTTAGAGGCCCCTCTCACGGCCGCGTCGACCCCGCGCGCAGCCCCTTAGAGGCCCCGTCGGCCCCGTCGACCCCGCGCGCAGCCCCTTAGAGGCCCCGTCGGCCCCGTCGACCCCGCGCGCGCCCCACCTAGCGGCCCCGTCGGCCCCGTCGACCCCGTGCGCGCCCCCCTTAGCGGCCCCGTCGGCCCCGTCGACCCCACGCGCAGCCCCTTAGAGGCCCCGTCGGCCCCGTTGACCCCGCGCGCGCCCCACCTAGCGGCCCCGTCGGCCCCGTCGACCCCGTGCGCGCCCCCCCTTAGCGGCCCCGTTGGCCCCGTCGACCCCACGCGCCGCCCCTTAGCGCCACGCACAGCAGCCCCAGCAGCCCCGCACGCGACAGCCACGGCCCCGCCAGAACCCAGCCGCCCGAACCGAGCCGCCCGAACCGAGCCGCCCAGTCCGAGCCGAGCCGCGCCGCCCGAACCGAGCCGCGCCGCCCTCCCCGTACTGAGCAGCCCTCTCTGGACCGAGCCGCCCTACCTGAGTCGCGCTGCCTGCTGCTTTTAGGGTTTCGCCTGCTGCTACTACTACTACTGTTCCTGCTACTGCTGCTACTCCTACTGCTACTATGGCTAGCCCCGCCGTACTCGCTTTCGATGCCGAGGGCCGCCCACTGAAGTTTGACACCTGGCTAGATGACTTGCACCTGTTCCTCCAGCTCACTGCCAAGGAGGACATCTCGCTGTACGATCACGCACTAGGCCTCGCTGCTGCCCCTACTGTTACTGTTGCCAGTACTGCCCGCTCACAGTGGCAGACTCGTGATGCCCACGCTCGTTTCGCTATTCGCAACTCCCTGCCGGTAGATGAGCGCGAGCACTTTGGCCAGCACAAAACTGCGCAGGCACTGTACACTGCTGTAGTTGCACGCTACTCCTCACCTGCCTCTGCTGCGCTAGGCCGTCTCTCGCTCCCCTACCTGTTCCCAGACCTGTCCGCTTTCGCCACAGTAGCTGACCTCATCACGCACCTCCGCACTAGTGAGGCTCGCTTCCGTGCCGCTATGCCCGCTGAGTTTCTTGCCACCCACCCCCCCCCGCTCTGGCTCACTCTCTACCACCTTGTCACCCGTCTCCCTGACTCTCTTCGTGCGGTCAGGGACCACTTCCTCGCTCGCTCCCCCACTGAGCGCACCATAGACCTGCTCGAGAAGGAACTGCTTGCAGCTGAGACTAGCATAGTCGCTGTAGCTGCCTCTCGTGGCGACCCCCGCACCCCGTTCTTCGAGGGGTGTTCCCCTTCCCCCCTTCTCCCCTCTGTCGCCTCTGCTGCTGCTGTCGACCTAGTTGGTACTGAGCAGGTCGGGACTGCGTCCGCTCCGAGCTGGCGCCGCAGCGGCAAGGGCAAAGGGGGCAAGGGAGGTGGAGGTGACGGCGGGGGAGGTGGGGGTGGGGGCGGTGGCGGCGGTGGGGGTGGTGGCGGGGCTGGAGGGGCTAGTGGCAGCGGTGGGGGTGGAGGCGGCAGCAGCGGAGGAGGTGGCCGGGGTGGGGGCGGTGGTTGGGGAGGCGGTGGACGCGGAGGCGGCAGGGGCGGTGGTGGTCGAGGTGGTGGCGGCGGCGGTGGTGGTCGTGGAGGCACTGGCGGTGGCCAGAGCCAGCAGCACACTCCGTCGTCCCAGGAGCTTCGTGAGTGGTACTCTCAGCACGGGGGGGGGGGGGGTGGCCTTAGCTGCACGTACGTCATCCGCACTGGTGACCGCACTGGCCAGACGTGTGGGAGGGCGCACACCACGCAGCGCTGCTTTTCCCGCCTGGACGACGCTTGGCGCACTCAGTTCCCTGCTGCCACTGAGCTGCCCCGCTGGGCTGACCTGATGAAGAAGAACATTGATATCTATGCTCTTGACTTTGATGCTATTCTCACTGCAATGTATGTGTTGTCTACTAGTGGAGAGAGTGCCCAGTACCTGCGTGTTCCGCCCGACCCGGGCATCCGCACCAGTGAGGCTGCCGCTCTAGGTGCTTGCGTGTCCGCTGCCCTAGGTGCTGGTGAGGCTGCCGCTCTAGGTGCTTGCGTGTCTGCTGCCCCAGTTGCTGGTGAGGCTGCTGCTCTAGGTGCTAGTGCGTCTGCGCCCCCTGGTACTGCGTCCACTGAGGCACTGCACACCTTCACTCTAGACTCAGGAGCTTCTCGCTGTTTCTTTCGTGACCACACTG